GCCTGCTGAATAAATTGGAATACTGGTAACAGCTCTCACTGAAACGTTCCTCATCTTGAATATGTGAGGAAGAGCAGGCAAAGAAACCCTGAAGGGATTAGAAGAAAAAATGGATGAGATTCCTACCCCAAAGAAGCGTTGTTGATGAGTTTAAATCCTGTACTTAATCAGCTAAGGAGAAAGAGAGCACTCTTTTATTCTCCCAAGTTTCCTTTCTTCCTCAAATAAATCTTCCCCTCAAAGATTCCCTATGAGTAGGAAGTGCTCCTTTTATAATGTGAACAGGATAAGTTAGCCTGGCAGCTATAGAACCCTGAAATTTGAAGGCACGTTCCTTGGTGCAGTGGTCACAAAACAGCAGGTGGACTGCACATGTCCATGCATGGCTCACATTTCGTCAACATACAGAAGGCGTTGATGGTAGAACTGCAGCTTCAGTAGGAGTAGCAAGGAATGGCAGGAGCAGGGTAAGGCTTTATGCTGCATAAACCAAGGTCATATGGTCTTTTTGATTATGAGATATGACTTGTACTCCAGATTCTGTCAGGCACTGAACAAATCACTTTATTGTCTTCTTCACAATATATACCCATCAAAAAGGGATTTTTGTGAGGCTAAATTCACTAATATTTCGGAGGTTTCTTTTTACACTTATTCATGTATAGATGCAAAGATTCTGAATATACTGTAACTTGAATGTGCTATCTAATAAAAACTATTGAGCTAGCTAATGTTGGAGTTATCAGTGCTTCTCAAGAGGGCATTAATGTTAGGTAAAAGAATTAGTAGACCTTTGTGTAAGAAATCTCTTAAATATAGATCACTTCATCAGTTCTTTTTAAACTAATCTATTAATAAAAAAATGTGGTAAAAATACATCAGAAATACCTTCAAGATGGATGCATATTCAGAATTCATGCAACTTTATTAATATGTATATATTTTTACTACAGTGAGTCTGAGCATTTACTGATATGTCTGTAGAGCTTTGAGAACTGCAAGAGCTGGTGTGTAGATTTTATTGTTGATTTCCTTGTTTTACAGTTTACTTAAACCGTAGAAGAAACAGAAGTTTCA